ATCGGCCTTTTTTCTTTCAGGGCCAGGCCGAAAGAAGCCTGCGTAGCCGTTATGCAAACTCTTACAGGGTTCAAGGCTTTCAGGGCTTCACTCATCGGGCTTGAAGATGCAGTCTTTAATTCACCGCAGAGTGCATGGTGAGCAACCATGTTTTGGAGATCTGTTTCTATTCGCTGAACCGCTTATAGGAACCCAACCGAATCTGCATCTTAAATCAAAGCTTTCTCATTGAAGACACCGGAACAACTTGCCCTCCACAAAACAGATGTGAGCTGTAGTCTAAACTCCTTAAAGGGGGTTATATAGGGGATTATATAGGGGACTACTACAAGGGTTATTAAGGGGGATACCAGGAGTTTAGACTGTGGCTCATGTGGAACCCCATGCGAGCGAATCTTGAAAAAACACACGTGTAGCCTCCTTGGGTCTTGGAGGGAAACGCTCTCTGAGCCGAAGATGCTTGTCGAACACTACACCCTGGAGCCTAAACTCTTTCAACTCTCTATAACCCCAATATATCCCCTATTATAATATAGTAGTTTCCATTTTCTTCTCCATTATCCCCAATGTAACCCCCAGATTCTATCTACTTAATCAGCCCTAAGCCTTGAACTTTCCCAACACACCCTCCAGGGCTCCTTGATCTGCTTATGTGGGGTGCTGTAGAGTTTGGCCAGCTCTAAGTACCTGCCCAAATTGAAAGCATTTGTGGTTGTCAAAATCATGGTCCCCTTTTGGTTACCCTAAATATTAGGTGCCGTACTATAATAGGGATCCAAAAAGGGAACATAATTTTGACAACCACCCATTTGGGGTTTAGGGATGAAGGTTTGGGGGACAGGGGAGCTCTTTTCTGGATCCCTATCAAGGATTCTTTAAAGGATACTTGCTCTGCTCCCTTAAGGACTGTAGACCACAACTCGAGCGTCTTCTTCATAAGCTTGGACCCAGATAGCATCAAGCCAGCTGCAACAGGGTCCACGATGCACCAGTCATGGCTAAGCTGTGAAGAAGCACCAATCCTGAATGGCTTTACTGTTGAACCTCCAATCTTCACTTTGCCAAGCACACGGAAGAAACTGGTCCAGGAAGACTGACCCTAAACCCTAAACCCTGGGGTTTGCCCTGACCTATCAAGGTGCTAGTTTCTAAGAAATTTTGCCACGCTGAAGCCTTTGCCCTAGGCCCTAAACTCGGTGCCCCGACTCCCACCCTGTCACAAGACTGCTCAAGGCCCGTGGAAGCCAGCAAAGTAGTCCGGTTGCTTCAAACATTTACATCTATCTTTGTTTGCTGCTATTGTTCCCTCTAGCTGTCTCAGAAGCTGTGGGTCATTTTCTTGTACAAACTCAGAAAATTGTCAAGCTAATGTGCGAATATCAAAGCATCTCGTGCTCACACAAGCTTGCCAAATCCTAGCCCCAACACCCTACAATCCATATTCCATATACTATTTCGTATTGCAGGTACAGGAAGAAGGATGTGAGTGCAGAGACGTGCAAGGCTTGCCTTGGACCGGAACCCTGAAGCTTGAATAGGTTGCGCCAAAGAAATCTCTGTCGCGCACTGCAGAGCCAGCTCATCTTGATAGATTGGCGGCCTGCAAGCTCGGTGGAGAAACCATTTTTGGGGGGTCGCGCATGTCTTCTAGGAAGTAGAACAGCCTTAGGGAGCGGCATTTCTCACATCAGGGCTGCTCATGTTGATATACTTTCAAAAAAGGATCTTGATTATCCGGACTGCCAAAGAGTGGGCCATGTTTTGGAGAAACTATTCAAAATGGACGCTCACCCAGTCAAGGCGCCCCCACACACCTAACAACCATGCATTCTTTCCGAAACTTATGTAGTGCAGCATCCAGAGGCCGGAGCCAGAACATAGGTGGAGGTATGCAACGGAAGCTTCGGGCTCGAAAAACATGTGCTTCAAATTCACGCAAACTGGTGTGGGAAGCGGGTTCTGTGGCAAGCCATGTATCTTGGCACGTGCCCGGATTGCTTCTAGTGCCACTACCAGCACCAGCTCCATTGCTGCCAGCAGTGGCAGTAAGCAAACTCGCCTTCCAACAGCACTTGCTCTGAATGGTTGCATGTTGATTGCAAAGCAAGAAAGTTGTGGCAGCAGATTGGCACCTTCGTATATGACCTTGAGTCAAGGTTTAAGGCGGCTTGGGTACACAAGTCATAAGCACGCCTGTGCAGGAGGCAAACGCACGAGACATGCCAGTAATTAGCGTCGTCTTGCTTCACACCCCACTTTCTGTACCTCGTTTTTCGTTCCCTGCTTCTGCTGCCGCTGCCGCCGCCGCTGCTGCTCATGCTGCAAGCGACGATGATACCGATAGCGGATAGTACAACCCACGTTACCAAGCATCCGGACCATCTAAGTGGGAAGCTTACGGACACCCAAAACGGGACCCCGCTTGCAGGTGGGCCTGCCAGCCATTGGACCAGAGAAGAGCGCTGGATATTCCAACAGAGACTCGCTGGACATCACCTGAGCCACTTGTTGGGGGTCCCTACAATAAGGGCTCTCGTATTTTGGGGTCTAAATTCGGGTCCCACTATTATATAACCATTTGGATTGCCCCTCCCAGGTAGGTACATTACGAAACGCTCGTGTCTTCTATCAGAGTAATCTTAGGGGACTTTAGGATATTACCTAGTGTACTAGGCAAACTTTAGAATTCAGGAGGCAATTTTCACAGACATCAACATGGTCCCATACTGTCTACATTGTTTACAAGAAGGCGTTGCGTGCTGGATTCCGGAATTCTAACTTCTAGGTTAAGGCTGAAGGTTCAGGGTTTGAGGGTTTGTGCAGGCTTTGTGGAGGCTTTGGCATGCACGTGGGTCAGAACATGAGGAAGCGGGTTTGGCACTTGGAGCTTGTGACTCTGCACCGGGCACGGGCTTAGGAATTTGGATAGGGCATATTGTAGTCAAGTGGTTATGTAGGGATAATGGAAAAGAAAATGGAAACTACGCTATTATAGTATATTATGGTATATTAGGTACCGCAGCCCTTGTTCCTTACCTGGTACTTCTGCTGTCAGACATCCTGCCAAAGATCCCGCTAGAGACCGCGTACAAGCCACCTCTGTGTTTCGAGCAGGCACAGGATAATACAAATTGGAGGGAAGGGGCTAAGATTTAGGTCGGCCAAAGCTTGCGGCCTTTGGGAATGTGCCCGAGCCTCAGCATCTCAGATGGAAGTATGTGGGCAGCCTTTGGCAGGATTTCTAGCACATGGCTAATGCTAAATCTTCCAAGACGGAGCTCCCATGGCAGAGAATTGTCAGGCACCACGCTTTTGAACTGGGCGATACGAGCAGGACTGCTTGTATTCAGACAGTCTGGCTGAGCCTTGCCGCTTATCCTGGCCCTTCGACAAACTGGGTTGCTGTTAGGAACTTAAGCTAACTCACCATACTGTGGGTACATAATAAACAATGCGGATTCTTTATCATGCTAATTCAACTTACGTTCCTTGACAGCAGCCCAGCAAAACAAGGGTGCCTCATTCTGGATATTCACATGCGTGATTGAGCTTGTATGGGCGATTTTAAAATCAGGTCTCCTTTGTAGAGCCCAATATTCAAATCTCCTAGCCGCTTAGTTGGGAACGTGGGAGGTATCTCTATAGTAGTCCCTGGCAACATTCCCTATAACTCCTTCCACTGTTCCTACTTGCCACTACGGAGTGCTCTATGCCATGCAGGTTCTTTTTGCGGCTTGTATGATACGAACTTTTCTGCTCTGGACTACATGTCGCGGATCCCAATTCTCAGAAGTTTCGATAAGGGTATTTCTACTAGTCAGAGTTGTCCTTCATACGCTCTTCAATGACATAATCCTCACTGTATGACCCTATGAACAAACATCCATGATCTTTTGAGCATCCGCAGGGCCCAAACCCTAAACCGTAAATGGTAGTTTCCATGTTCTGTTCCATTATCCCTATATAACCCTAAACCTATGTAAACCTAAACCCTCAAGAGCTTAGGGGAATTTTTGGAATCCCCTTGCAGTCTTTCAAAGGTCGGTGCCCAAACGGCAAAGCCAGACCGGAAGGACGCTGCGGCCACTGTGGGAGTCTCCCAAAAGTAGTATATTATAGTAGATTGTAATAGAGTTTAATGGATTATAGCATATTATAAGATGTTACAGTATATTAGAGTATAGTCTAGACTCCTTAAAAGGGCGGTTATGTAGGGGTTATACTATACGGCTTCTTAAGGGGGATACTAGGAGTTTAGACTGCAGCTCCTGCTCAAGTGGTAGTTTCAATTGGGGGCCCCGAATATAGACCCACAAATACTATATAGTCCTTATTCTGGTGATCCTTAAAAGAGTACCTAATTTTGAGAAACCCCCAAGTCTACGCCCTCAGAGCTTGGGCTGTGCTTGCAGCCGGAAACTCGTCTTGCCGTGCGTAGTCTCCACGGCGCAGGGTAGGCCGAAGGTGTCCCGATCCAGCAACATTTGGATGGTGTCTGCCTCTGTGCCTGGGCTCTCACTCATTGCCTCTGGGCTCCAAAAAGGGAAGTTTGAGGCATGGCCATTTTGAGGCATGAAGGCCACTTGCCTGCAAAAACCTTCTTCATAGCCCTGGACGTGACTTCTACGAAAAAGACTTCTTGGTTGTCTAACGGCTCCTGTCATCATTGTCACCCCTTCGCCCTGGGTATGCGGCCAGACTCAAGGCCAATCCATCAAAATAGGTCTTGCTGGTGCTGTTCTGGGGTGCTGTGTTTCGCTTGCTCTGAATGTATATTCGTATGCATGGATGTATCTGTACGCGTTTTGGTGCTCAGGACTAACTAGGCCCCGCTCAATGGAGGCTTTCCATGGGTGGCTCATGACGATGAGGTTCCATTTCTGCCCTGCATATTGCTGGCAAGCTAGACTACTTGGGCCAAGAAGAAGTACCCAGCCTTCTTAACTGTGACCCATGATGACCCATGCAAACCTTGCAAGCCTAGCAGTGCGGCCTTAGCGTTACAAAGCCTTCACAAATCGAGCAAACGAGGCTCTAGTCCCGATGAATCTCTCCTGCGTTGCGTTCAGCGTCCCAATGATGACCGCACGCTGAGGGCTGTTCCGGCTGTCGAAGACCACAGTCCACAAGTCCACGGTAGCCTCTCCGGAGGGCGCATCGTTGAGTTTCACCGCTGGGCACAGGGCCTCGCAGAGTTTCTTGGCCCGCTCCTGGTCTTCCTCTGCTCGTCGGGGCATCCAGTTACATGGCTCTGTTGAATAGACTCCCGCAGAGTGTTTGGAGAAGATGCCACCATTAGACGTGACCAGCCCCTTGGAGCCAGGGTCCTTTCGCAGGATATCCACCATCAAGGCAATGCTGTGGGTGCTGAAATTATTGCCAGGACCTCCATGAAATTGCATACCTCCCGTCTTGCACACGTCGGATGCCTGAGTACAAGTATGATGATGTCCCAACACCCCCAGTACGCCCCCAGTACGCGTCTCAAAGCTTCCTACCGTTCCAACGGACAGCGTTTCACCAGTAGCAATCACATTTCTTGATACTTGGTAACTCCTCAAAACCCTCTATTCAGCGTCCATGTAATCCTCTCTATACATCCCAGCCGTCCTTTCTGACCTGATCTGCTGAAGAGGGGCATGCACAAAGGGTACTCCCAGCTGCAGAGATGCATGGCGGACAGCCACTGGGAAGCACGAATAGAGCTCGCAGTGCCTCAGCAGGTCTCCGGAGGTTTGTCCCAACATTTGGCTAACATGATGGTGTAGTTTGTTTTGGAATAGGGGCCCTAGGGGGGAATCTCTCAAACCCCTTGCACACAGGGCCTTCCCTGCGATGAAGCCTCCACGCATCATACTCAATCCAACGAAATGTCCCAATGCACTGATTTCTCATTGTCATTCATTGTCTTACCTGACTTTCTGCTTCAAAAGGCTCTTGAATATATTTGGCGATTGTTCAAAATTCCTTTTCTGGGATTTGGATGGATTTGGCCAACTTTCGCAAGGAAGTGTATTCCTTTAGTGTCTTCTTTTGCAAGGCTTAGTTTCACATGTGGGTCAACTTAGGGTATCAGATTGGATACTTACTTTTGAAGGACCTAATTGGGAATTTAGACCTTTGAATGGGAGTTTCTGGAAATTGGGGCCCTTTCTGTGCTGGTTCTCCTCTATCTTAATTTACTGAAAGACACTACTGCCAAACATCTTTCGCAAAAGTGTAATCCTTGCGAAGCTTTTTGAAACCATTTGAAATGGTCAGCCCAGTATAACCAGAAGACACGGACCTTTAGAACAGCTCTCCAATGTACCGCTTTGGTTTTGGTTAGCCTAATTCTGAGGGAACCCCAAACAGCCAAACAGTTGGCAATGCCTCTGTTGGCAAACGTCCCCTTTTGGAGGCACACTTGATATGAAAAGCATCCTGCTACACACAAGCCCATTTCAGCATAAACAAGCTCTGAGACCTCTCAACTGCAACATTCTAGCTTTTAGCGACAACACGAACAGCCTCCCCGTCTTCCTACCCACAACAAGGGTCAGAAAGGAAACCAACGATGACCCCTATAAATCACAAGCCTTTAGCGCAAAACCATTTAGGCCTTTCAGTTTCTCGTGAATGTCAGTCATCCAGGTGCTTTATACTGGACAGCGGCTCTCCCAGGGTCTCCTCTAGCCTCCATCTTATTGCTCGAAGCGCAGGGGACACGGTGAAGGAAGGACGCTCCAGTCCGCGGTAGGGTTCCTCACAACTCCAAGCCCTCTTCGACATACATGTTCATGTTCTATGCCTCTAGCCTCTTTGCTGGCAAGCAGTGACAATGTTCCACCGCTATCTACCGCTTTGAGGACCGGCTGTGGCTCCATGCCCAGATGCCTTGAGACCAACAGGTTTTTGGAGGCACTACTTCTCGAGTATGCATAGGCTTCTTACCTGGATAGGGCTTCTTGTGCGACAATTGCGGAGCAGCGCAGCCCACCTCCACAACATCTCCAAATGATATGCAGACTGCTATGTAGGCTCAGCTTTTTATCGTATGCCAACACCTGTAGCTCTACAGGCAGAACCATAAGGGCGGGCCTGGACCGCAGGTAGGCCCCTGTGATGCTCGAAGCCCTGACTGATAATGCCTGTTGCGCCTTTGGCGCTAAGCACAGACCTGGCACCCAAACCCCTTGAGCACTGATAGGTATATGAGAGAATTGACGGTAATGTTCTGATCTCCTCGTGCGCATCCGCATGCGCGTGGAGGTAAACAAACTTTTCCTCGGGGACGCCGCGACGACGGGCCTCGCCCAATGACATCCTTACAATTGGTGTGACTGCATATAGGCTTCAGGATCTTGGGAGTTTAGGGTGGCTGGCCTTTGGGAGACGAGATGCTACCCTGCGGAACAATGCCTTTCGGCCCAGCGGCAGGATCACAGCCGCACTTTGGTCCACGTCGATGAAGGAGTTCATCATACGGGTGTAAGGAAACGAGACATACCGGTTGGAAGGCCCTGCGGTGGAGATCTCCTCGACACTTCTGGCCTTCGCATCCCAGGCGTGGTCCGGATCTGCTGCGGCGATTTGGCTAAACTCTGACATCAGCCGCGCAAGCTCGCGCTGGTATTGCTCCCTCGGCACATGTGGATACAACTCCTTGCGGTAGGCCTGCTCAATAAGTGCATAGAAAACCGTGGGGTCTGCCAATCCGTGCTGGATCATGCGCATCCTGGGTTGCTGTCAAGGAACCTAAATAAATTCACTGTATGAGGGGATCCATAGCAATTACACTATATATACCGTGGATATGGGAACTTAAACCCTAAACCGTATATGCCAATAATATGGTAACTTAAGTGCTTTGACAGCAACCCAGCATCGTCGTGTAAGCCAACATGCTTTCCACTGGCCTCAGTCGACGTGGCTCGCCACCTGGGTCGTCGCCCCAGGGGAGCTCCTTGCCTTATTGCTTAGTAGGTAATAAGGGAATAAAGTATGGGGTTTAGGGTTTGGGGAAAAGGAAAATGGAAGCTACTATGTATTTATTATGTGTATATATATATGAGGTTATAATAAGGAATAAGGAAATACAATCCTTATGTAACCCCTATAGACTACAAAATCCATTATTCCCTGCTACTGTAACAACCTGTAAGTTGCCCGTCGTTGGAGTCTGGCTCTTCTCTCGGGACGACAGCTTTCGCCGCATCTCAGCCACCCCTGGCAGAGACATGCCGGCTGCAAGACCTTTCCTCAAGGCCTAGGTTTCCCAGTAACCCCATAATAATAAGGGTACCCTCTTTCCTAATATTCAGCTTTGAATAAGGAGACCCCAAAATAAAAAGGGGAAAAAGGGTACTACTGGGGTACCTAGAGGCAGCAAGGCCTTCAGCACCACAAATAACAGCAGAGCGAATCTCGCCTGTGGAGATCTTTTCGCCCATGATGTTGATCAGTTCTTGGGGTCCGTTGCCGCCCATAGGGTGGGCATACAGCTGGTTCTTCTCAATGGCATCCGTTGCGCCGATCCGGACTGCCACTGACTTGGGAGGGTTGGGGTAATGCTTGGGTGTCTTTGGGGGAACGAGAATCTCGTGCCAAAACTCCAGAGTGGCCACGCAATCGATGTCTGTACCTTTCAGCTGTGCGTCCTCCAATGCCTGGCTGACAGTCCTCGGCTCAAATTCATCACTCCTCATAAAACCTAGCTAGGCTGGCGCGGTGGTGCACAGAAGCCATGCGACGAAGTGGTTGATGCCTACCTATCTGTTGCGGAAGGAAGGCCCAATGTCGGAAATGCCATCACCAGCTTTCTAGATCTGTCTGCGTCTTTCTTGGCTCCATATTTCTTAAGATGAGTCTTGTGCGTCCACTTCCTCCATTCATTCGACGTTTCTTTCTCCAAGGGCTGTTCAACATCCCCACGAAAGGAGCATGCATGATACTTGTAACAGCACACGGTGTTGAAAAACAGCAACAACAATACCGATCTCAGACCCCAAGCCCAAAGCTGTGCAAAGTCCAAAGGAGCCCCGAATGTACAGTGCAGCTAATCAAGCAGTGAGAACAACATAAGGATCACACGCACGCGTAGAAAACCTAGTAGTTTGTGCACGAAACGGCTGTTTTGATTCGATTCTAAGCGAAGAATGGGTTAGTCGAAGCCCTGGAAACGAGTTCGTTTTGCCACCATCTACTGCATTTCGCGGCCAAAACATCAACAGCTTGGAGTCCCTTGCATGCACAGGCATGGAGTCTCTAGTCACCATATGACCTTGGAACGTGAAAGGTACGTTGTGAGCACGGATGGTCTGGTGATCTTGTGCACTTGGAGCACGAATTCTATTGTGGTTTGGGCATGGATGATAATGATCGCACAAAATTGCACCGTATGCTCAGGCAATCTGCGCGCGCGTCACCAACTACAAACCCCTTCTAAACCGAACCATCTGGTATCTCCCAAAACTCAGAGACACCAATGTCCATGGAATACTATAATCCTTGTTGTAGGGACCCCCCCCAAAAAATGGACCCCTAATTTCCGGAAACCCCCATCTCAGTCCTCTCCAACAGCTGGAGAGGCGTCAGCGCATCAGAGAGGTCTGCCTGCGCAGAATACCAAGGCTTCTCTAAACCCACCCTGAACAATGCCTTTATCTTACTGGTTCTTAGTAGGGCATATGCGAATATAGTATATACGAACCGTATAGGGATTACATTCGTTAGTTCCCTAATTACTAAGAAACAGTAAGTTATAGCCAGTATAGTTACTCAGTATAGAACCTCCTCACAACCTCTAAATGATCCTGCATTAGGTGAAATTCTGTTGGGCCTCCTGAATTCGGTGGGTGTAGCGCGCCACGCCCACTACTACCGGAGTTGTTTCCGCGACAGACATGGCGGACCAATCCTATAGCTGCTCCTTCTGCGGTTTGTCTTCTGTGCCACTGCACATGGGTTTTAAGTTCAGGGTGGTTCACCAGACCTCTCTCCTGCAACGCGAGAGTTACTAATTTACCACCTGCACTGCAATGCTGAACACACATGCAGCATATGTCTAGCTATGCTTTGCTGTGTTTGACGTGCGACAAACAGCTACTGCCATGCCACAATGCATATCGGTGCATGTCTATTGAAGCAAACTCGTGGTTGGCGCTCAGATCATGTGGCAAGCCTTGAAGCTTCGGACATGCAGTTTTAGTTACCATGTCTCGACTGTATTGAGCAAATTAAGGGCGAGGCTGAGAATGTGATGGAGAGAACGAGACAACTGGAAGACAAACTAGCCTAAATGCAGGAGCAAACACGGAGTGTAACATTGATAAATCAAATCAGCAATTGTCAGCTTGCTGCTACGACGTAAGATTCATGAAGCCGGCAAGATCCTGCTTCCAAAATAATAGTGCACTCATGGCCGCCTCCGTGGCGACCCCTTGCAGCGGCAGCACGTCAAATGGGAATCACTAACTACTTTGAGCTCAAGGATCTCCGTAAAGTACTTTGAGGTATCACAGTGGCATCCTAGTTTTGGAAACTACTCCTAAAGACGTGCCTAATGGGATTCAAAGTGCTAGAAATTCATCAGGAATTCTAACCGCAATCAGGTGAGCACTGCCAAGTGGAAAAGACAGCCTGGGCTACCTTTCGAGTCATATTAGGCTTTAGGGTTACCATGTTCTAGGCATTTAAGGAGCACCATTACGACAGCAACCAACAACCGTGAAGCACAACTTGATGAGGCACTCAGGGCTCCACAGCATCGACACCTGTTGCCTGCATACAGCGCTCAACGTCCTCAAACCTGGCAGGATGCTAAACTCTCTCGTGCCAACTAGGGAGCAGGGTAGTGGAGGGAGTTGCGGCGGATTTTTGGCAGTTTCCATCAAAGCACCACACAGTAAGCCAAGGAACCAGGCAGACCCATCCAAGCAGTTTTAAACACCTTGTAAGATTTCGAATAAATTGCTACATGTTTTCGCCTGCTCTGCCTGAATAGGAAGCGCCTGTCCACGGTAGTCCCCGGGACTTGAAAGGGCTTTTCGTGAGGACTTTCCAAAACCAGTATTGATTTGCCATAGCCCCCACTCCCTCTCGCCAACTGGCTGTCAAACCTCCTACACATGAGAGGCTTCCATGGGCCCGACACTGCTGCTTTTACAAGCGCTGCGAGGGAATCATCACGCTACGAAGTAAGTTAGTGCTGCCGCCATGCAGGGCATCTGAAGTCCGAAAACCCAAATTCTGGGGCCACGGCTCCCATGGTATGGGCCCCCTCTTATATACCCATTCTTAATTACCACCTTGAAGACCTAAATCAAAGTTGTCCTTCTGAGCTCTTTATGAACCTCTGTAAAATCCGAAAGAGCCCAGGACACGAGGCTCGCATGAGTAAAAACCAAATTTGGGTCCGCTTATGGCCACAACGCGCTCTGTATGACATGATCTCTACGTAATGCAACAGATACCCACCGCTGTGGGAAGCTGCTACATGCCAAGGGCACGTGTGAATCCCGCCGTTGGCAATGAGCGGAATCCCAACGCGACGCTTGACGGCAGCTATGGCATCCTTATGTAGGGCTTTGTGGTTCCTCAAAACCGGAGCAGCTTTAGGGACCCTTTTGTTTAGTGTTTAGCGGAGTTTAGGGGGTACGTATATGTGAAGGGATGTAGTGTCGGTGATTTTACAATTCTATGTCAAGATTCTATGTAGATTCCTGGAATGGTCATGGATTGTTGCTGCGGCGTGTGGGTTTATGACAAGGTCGTCCAGCCTGCCATGATGACAGTCATGAGCCTCCGATTATTTAGCAAACAGCTCATGAGCTCATACCCTCACAACTACCCTACTACCCGTACAGGGATGACTGTATGGGGATTAGGTTTGGTGAGTTTAGATGGTCAGGGGGGCGGGGGTTGCCGTCCGCGCTTCAAGGAACTTGACAGAACTACTGCCAACAGAGGGAAGTGGATGTGCATCAAAAAGATCTTGATACAATTTTGGAACTCTTTGCCAGAAGGAATCCAACATGATGGGAACCCAACAAGGATGTTAGATACAACATACAATCAAATACTCTTCCTGCAACCTCCCAGAGACCTCCCGTGCAAGATCACATCTTGTCAGGTTGGAAGGTCAGGAGCTCAGAATTAGCATTTAGGTTTAGGTTTGAGGGGTTGAAGTTTGGGTGTAGTCTGGGAATGGGGGTATGCGTTTAAGCCCTATGTAGACTTGTCCTGTGCAATTTCTGAAGCCCTAAACCCACTGAGGCCCCCTACCCAGTTGGCGGGACCTGTAGATTGGCCTTTCATCTCCTTCAAAGGCAGGGTGCTCTGCCTCCAGATTTTTAAGGTTTAGGGTTTACTAGGGTAATATGGGTAATGCAAAAGGAAATGGAAACTGCTTCATATTTTGGGGGGCATGTGGGCATGCGTCCACAAAATCATCTACCCCCAACTACTGCAAGACCTTCTTTTATAGGGCCCTGTTCAATCAGGCCCTCTTTAGCGCAGCAAGAAATCTTTGGGGCCTGGGGGAAATAGCTTATTATCCTGAAAAAACTGACTGAGCCCTTACAAAGCAGGCTCGCAATCCTTGCACATGATCCCTTTCCGTCCTTAGTTCGGCCGTGCAGGCATAGGACGGAGGCACCAGCGGCCTCTCAGGTTTGCATACATCTCCCAACCCATATCTCAAGCCCACCCCTTGGCTGCTGGTGCTTGTATGGCCAGTAATATGTTTCCGTTTTCTAGGAAGCAGAACCCCAGTGAGCCCCGCAGAGTGCCAAGCCTCTCTCTGATTTCATGGGGCCTCATGAATGAGCATATCCTGTGCAGCTCAAAATGCTACTGAAAAGCTCCCAGGTCTGTGCGGAATGCCTCCAGTCGCGAAACCAGGTTCAAGGTGTCCTCTCCACCATGGGCTTAAAGCCAGCTAATGTGACTGCTGTTGTGATGACGGCCACCAACACCGCCGCCAACATCAAAACACTTATGAGCATGATGGTGTCTGCTCTAAAGATGGAGAACTGATGAGATACTACAATGGGATGATATAGGGCGTTCATGTAAGCAGTATATCGGGCTTCCCATCCCCATGCTTCTGATTATCAACCAACTTCGGTCCTTTGCCTGGCAACCGCACAACTACCAATATTAGCAGTTTGCCCGTCTCCTGCAGTTCGTTGGCATTCACAAGTCGGATCTTCACCGTGGAAGGTACCGAAAGCTCGCGATCCAATGTTCGGACGATGCCCTCGATCCTGTGAGCAGTTTTGCAGACTCTATCAGGAACTGGTTCAAGTCTCAAGGCCTCTCAAACAACTGTAATATTGAGGGGAGGTGGAAGCTGCGTCTTGAAGTACCCTGTCCAGGGCTTAGTGAGGGAATCTGGGGAATGCAGCCTTGCGGAATTGTGCATCCCGTCGCCATGATCCCTAAAATCCATTCCCTCCGTTCCCACCAAGTGCCACCTCCAGCGAAAACTGGGCCGGCCGTGGGATTCAAACAGAGCTGACTGAAAGAGCATGGCTAGGTGTCAAAATCTACATCCCAGTGCTCAAAACGCAGGAGTCCATGCTATGAAATGGCGCAAGAGGGTACTCTGCAGCTGCCAGACATCTAGGGTGGTTGCAGGGCCTATAAATGCTTTAAAATCCAGATGCACGCAGCTATGTTGAGAAGGACGCATTGTAGGCTACAA